ATGTTTCCGATGAAGATTCAACTCTTCAATCTTTCTAGACAAGTCAAATTAGCTTTGTAAAGCCGAGGCCCCCCCCCCCCCCCCCCCCAACACACACAAACCATCCCTATGCCGTTGAGTTGTGGGAACTTCATGTTCAGATAAAGAAAATATTGTACTATTCATCAAAGACAGATCCAAAAACACATCGACAAATTCAATAGTAATCAACACTACTGTAAGGCATTATGTTCAACTTTTCAAGATTCTTCACAATTTAAAAGAAGCGTCGGCATACAGAGTTATTCTCATCAAAGATTCTCCACGGTTCAGAAGACAAAATTCACGAGAAACTTCAATACTTTTTAGATGTATCAGTCCAAAACCCATACATACACACAAAGTAGTGGTCCAATAATATGGGATTTGGATAAATTTGATTAAAAAATAATAATAAAACCAAAAACCAATTCTTTGTGTTGACAAGGGCAGTGATAGTCTTGGTGGGGGTAACTTCCTAGTCAGAGGACCATTTCTTTGCGAGGCACATTTTTTTGTGGATGGGATACAGTGTGTGTCAAAAGGCCTACACATTTTGTAATGGTTGGGTTAATAAAAGCCAAGAATCTGACTTACACGTTTGTTTGTCATAATTTTACAGGGCACACAGACACAAAACACATCAAATTGAATATTTACGTTATCCATCCGAACAATACTTTGTATGTGTGGATATGCATAATTAAGGTTGTAGAGCAATGAATACGGAATAGAATAATGTTTAATGGATATGTCGATGGACAACCTCACAAAATTAAAGAAGTGTCCTTATACGCTACGTATATGCTTCGATTTTCTGGCTGCTGCCGAACTCCTATTCTTGCTTATGTAAGAACGTCTAAAACCCTACCGATCAAAAAAAAAATGTCTAAAACCCTATGGATCAATTTTCTTTGACCATTTGATACGTGGATAAATCTTATAGACCCCACAAAATATACGAATAAGATGTGGTTCTCTTTGATTTGGCAAAATGAAGTTCAAATAATGTTGTCATTAATAATTTTCAAGATACAAAAGAGAACAGATAACCTCAAATTGGTCTATTTTCCTGTAAAGATGAGAATAGAGAATCCCATTCTTTTTGTTCCTAACTCCTATCATATGTCTAAAGTTATTGAAAATTTGAATACTTCCATTTGATGAAATGACACCTTTCTACAAAGGGAAATGTTGGGTGTAGGTTCACAGAAAAGGAACCCCCCATGTGAGCTATCGGTTACACCCAGCATTTCCCTTCTACAAATTTTGACTGCATGTTAAATTTGATTTCACCCCTCACCCCCTACCCCATGTTGAAACATTTCAAAATTTGGTGTGTATTGGTTTGTTTCATCTTCAGAAAAATGACTTGGACAATATGTAAGATTGTATTGAAAGATTTTCTAATAATGTCGAATTTGATTGAAGTTCAGGAGGGAAATTTTGGATTTGAGTGTTTTGTGAATTTGGTGAGAAGGGTTTGAGCATGCGGATGGAATTAAAAAATAAAAGTTTGCACGAGTCAAGGTATCACAAGGGGGAGGATTATAGTTAGAGCTAAACAACGAAATCGTCAAATCACAAATTCAAACAGAAATCGTATTTTTGAAACCATTGGTTTGGGTCCACGTGAATCCATCAACATTTTTATTTTGAATCTAACTAAACCGCTTCGAAGTGGTTTGGTTTAGGTTTCCATCTTGGCAAATCGCTTCAAACTGTTCAAAAAAAAATTAATTTTAAATTTTATCCAACTCAATTAAAACTAAGCACATCCCAATTAAAAAGATGCATCCATGTTCAACATAACCCAATTAAAATTCATACATAAATAAACAGTTACCCATCCCATAAATCATATCCAAATACACATTAGTCATCATAATCGTGAATGCAAAATCCTCAAATTGGGTGAAGTGTTGAAAAACTGTTGTTGTTCATCGACCACCCATTATAATTGAGTAGACAATTAAATCGAAATTTTAATTCAAACTTTCATATATCTTTTTCTTCTACTAATTATTTTCTTAAATTTCGGCTAAATTTTCAGGTCAATTTATTTAAGTTTTCTTATTTTTTTTGTAATTATTTGCTATATTTTATTAATAGTTGTGCTTTTTTGTTCTGATTTGTGTCACGTTTGCTTAAATTTTTACCGAGTAGCATTTTTTGTTTATTTACGTTTCAATTTCTTGGTCATGTCAACCAATTATTTATTTACGTTTCAACTTACTTTCTAGATTTTACTGTTAATTGCTAAAATGATTAGGTGGATTACTTAAATGGTTGTTTTAAAGATTTGACCAATGAGCCTTTTGGTATATTACTTTGATTAAAATTGAATGCAAATAAATACAAAATCATCACCCAAATTGCTAAAAATATGTTAGCTATTCTAATATCAACAATTGTTTCTGCTTTTGCATTCCCAACTAGCGATCGAATTCTTGATTCCTTTAGGAGTTCATTGAGTGCCAATATAGTTGATGCGGTAATTTGTCCTAAAATTGGTTACATAGTAACAAGGAACATATATTGATTAGTCTATATTTGGATGAAGTGGAAGTATTGAATTATTCATAAAAAAAAATTATAGAATGTATTATTGTGTTTGATATTTCTATTCATTTTTTATTAGTTATTTTATATCATTTAATTATAATAAATGAATTAATATACTATATTCTCATCTTTATGTAGAGAATGAATCATGTGATACAATTGTAGATATTTCACCAATTAGTATCGACTAAGATTTTAAAAATGTTTCTATCACGTTGTTGCATAATAATGATTAGAGTTACAGAACTTTGGTTCGAAATATTTTTAATGGTACTATTTATGTTTTAACATGAAATTTTAGATTAATATTTATAATTTAACTTATTTGATATACATTATTTGTTTTACTTGTTAAATTGTCATTTAAATCAAACCAAACCGAAAAAGCGGTTTGGATTTGTTTGGTTTAGGAATGGGAGTGGTCTGGTTTGGTTTAGAAAAATTTCAAACTGTTTTAAGTGGTTTAATTTGAAAATTTGTCACAAACCGTTCAAACAGAACCGTGACGGCGGAGGACGAAGTGGGGCAGCCAAGGCCGCAGCAGGTTTGTCGGTGACCGCCCAAAGCTCTTAGGCGATCAGGGGCACGGGAAGAGGTAACCTGCTTGCCTAAGCGGCTGCCATTCACATAGAAACCAGAATAGGTGCTTTGGCACATGTTCATGTTTAAATCCGCCTTTGACCCATTTTCACTACAATTTCGATCATTAACTAATTTTTCGACTGGTTGTGAGTCTAACGTAGAGCTGTAACTCTTGGGAAGAAATCTTTTACAATCTATGAATAAGATTGGTGGTTTCTTGCTTGACATACACTTCGACAAGATGTAACTTTGTCCCCTTATTTTTCTTATATCAAAACTCTCTTATGCATATTTTCTCTCTTCGAAACCTCATTCATACTTTGTCATTCTCGAGAGACAAAGTATAGACCTCGAGTATAGATTTCTATAAATCTAATTTGTTCAAATTGTCTTCGTGAATGTAAAATGCAATCAACGTTCGAATTCATTGTATTGAGAAGGCATATTTGTATTCCCGAGTGCAACATGATATTGGTAGAGCAAATAATGTCTTAAGGAAAGAGCGTCAACACAGCCTTGAAGTTAGGCATTTTTATATATAGTTCGAGATTCTGCAATTTTCAACTTTCTTTTCTACTCCTTTCACAAGTCACTCAAAGACTTCTATGATTTTTACTAGAAATATGCCCCGACAATCTCAAGACGTTATTTACATTTTGTACTAGCACCACCGTTATCTTCGCTTCGAAAATTTATGGTAGATTTTTGAAGTTGGAACGGTTTGATGGAGATTGTCATAATTTGAGGTGTTTTTTTTTTTTTTTACTATTTTCCAACTTCTGCTATTTGAAGACATCCACCAACACCATCCCTCCTCCCAACCCACACATTAGTTTCAATGTAGACACAACTACACAGAGCAATGTTTGATGTACACACTTGGGTATACATCATGTATTACACTCATCTCACAATGGTGGGGGGCCTGTAATTTAAAAAATCACGGACCCCACACTCCATTGTGAGAGGAGTGTAAGTTTTAATGTAAACAAAAGTGTACATTAAGACTTATTCTTTATGTAATTTGATCTAAACGACCCACAGGTGTAGTTGTCCTAATTCATTAAACCTATAGCTTCACACGATCATCCAATTCTTGTAAACTTACTTTTCATTATTCATATTTTAATCTTATGAGAAAAGCTATATGTTCAGGGTGAGGGTTCCACATACAACTCACACATATGGGGGTGGATAATTTCTTTTTTCTTTTTTTACATTTTTATTGAGGTGGGTCTCGTGTGGGACCCACCTCATGTGATAGGGTGTAGGGGTTGTGAACCCTTACCCCTGCACATGGAGATTAATTCTAATTTTATTCCACGTGAAGAACATGAATTACAATTACGTCTATATCAATTCATTTTAAAGCTAACAATCGACATATTCAATCACATAGACAAAACTTTAGATATTTGAATTTAGGCTATGATCGTCAACATACAACTTTCATGTCATATGCAAAGAAGAATTCTTTTTGTATTGACTGTCTAGAAAAGAGTGATAATAAATTTTCACATTTTTCTCTCCAAAAAATCAAAGATTCCCAAAGAGTGGGCTTTAAAAGGAATCAGATACAGAGACTGGATTCTTCGCAATCCAATTAAAATTTCCCCCCACAAATAAGGTTGTAAATATGTGACCACAAAAGGCCCAAAAACATTGTATCTATAACCCCACCCCCATCCACACCCCACCAACAACCCCATGTGAGTCCTACCTTAGCTACACCTATTCCCAAACACACCCTATTGCTTTTGAAGTCCTATATTAACTGTCGCATCCCCGTGTTGTCCTAAGACAAAACCTCCACAAAATCTTGAGCTGCATTGAAAATGGCTGGTGTTTGGGTGTTCAAGGATGGCGTCTTACGACTCGAGAACCCCGGTGACTGTCAGGGCTCAAATGCTCGCCGGAAAGTGTTGGTGCACTTGCCGAGTAACGAAGTCATCACTTCATATAGCGTTCTTGCAGGGAAATTATCATCCCTTGGTTGGGAGAGGTATTATGATGATCCTGATCTTCTTCAGTTTCATAAGAGGTCTACAGTTCATCTCATTTCTCTCCCTAGAGATTTCAGCAAGTTTAAGTCCATACACATGTACGACATCGTCGTAAAGAATCGCAACGAATTTGAAGTTAGAGACTCGTAATAATCCAACTTTAATCCTTTCGCGTGTTTGATAAGTTGGACTGGATAGTATGGACATGGTGAAAGAAAGAGACATGTTCAATATTATCCAATACTATACCCCAAACTCGCATTTAGGATATTTATGGTTTCCCTTGTCTAGTGATTTTTTTTTCTTTTTTCACTTCTTTCCTTCAAATTTAGTTCTTGTTTGAATTGAGTGTCTTTCTAGTGTTCTGATTTGGCACATTGCAGATGATATGTAGTATACTTAAGGGTCGTTTGGCATTTGAGTCCTGTAAAATGTGTACAAATGATTCTGTAATGAAAATTGCTTGTGTTTGTATATTCTTTTCTCACCTTTCCTGCCATATTTTCACGTAAAAACACTTTTACGCGGCTGTTTGGTCGCGATGGGGGATGTCAAGCCACCACAATCAGCACCGCACACCCGGCGTGCGCATTAGGTTTAGGTGGATATATAAAAATCTCACTTGATGTTGTTATTATTTTTCTAAAAGGGCGATGAATGATGAAAATTTGTTTGATATCCATTCTAGTTATAAATAACTCTCTCTCTACTTATTTTTGACTCACAATTTAAGTAGTGAGAGAAAGGAGAAGTACGATACTACAAGCATGCTGTAGAATGTACTATTTGCTGGTGAACTGTGAAGGATTAAAATCACAATGTACTGACAAGTTGACCGCCATTAATTTTGCCTTTGACCACCAAGATTTTGGTTGGACATAGACTGATGGACTCCTCCAGCAATTAATTCCTCAGCAAAATAGAAAGTATTGCCTTAAAATCGAAGAAGACAAATAATTTAGGGACGTGATGGAAATTTCTACCGCTGTATTACCAATTCATTATTAGAAGAATCAAACGAACTCTAGTACGGAGTTTAGCATGTTTGGAAAGTATTTATAAACAATTTAATTTATAAATAACAATAATTAGATAGTACTTGTAGATTCTATCAAATATATGGATTAAAAACAATCTCGATTTTTATAGATAATTTATAAACATGAACCAAATATTAACATCTTATTGTCAATAATAAAGAAAAAGGTTATTTAGCACAGAACATCCCCATCCTTCAAAATCATTGTGCAAAATGTCTCTACCTTCAGTTTTTGGCATTTCATCCCTACCCCTTTCAACCATTTTTCAATAAAAGAATATTCTACCCTCTAATTCAAATAAAATAAAAAGAAAAAAAATGAATAACCATTGTGGGAGAGGATATTGGGGAGAGTGAAGCGAGGCTTGATGGGGTTGTGAAAGTGGTGGTGGTGGAGAATTTAAGATTTATCTGTAATATTTTGAAAATTTAAGGACTATAATTGCAATTAGTTATTTATTTTTTCTTTTTGTTTCATTTGAATAGAAGGGTAAAATCGTCATTTTATTGAAAAAAAATGGTTGAAAAATACCTCTTGCGCAATGAAGGGTGGAAGGTAGGGGTGAAAATGCAAAAAAAATGAAAGGTGGGGGACTTTTTTGCTATTTACCCTAAAGAAAAATATTATTTAATTCTAGTTTGCGTACACAAATGCGACCAATGGCATACTGATCATTTTAATTTTTGTCCTTATATAATTTTATTGTAGAAAAATTGATTGCATACAAAAATCTATTAAAACTACTTGTTAAAATTTGAGTGTGACCCGAATTTTTTTGTTAAAATAATTAAAAAAATTTAATTGAAGTGCACGTCAACGAGAATTCAGTTTGAAATACTATTGCAGTTCTGTGTCATTTTGAAGTTCTATTTTAATATTGGACTTGAAGAAGACTCTGGATAGAGAAAACAATTTGGAAAAAAAAATTTGTCCCGTCGCCCACGCCCGGAGGTGGGCACCAGACGCCACCTGTTCTGTCAATTCTACTAAGAGGGTTTGGATGTCCCCTACATGTGTTCCTATAAATACTAGGCTCTTCTATACAATTTTATAATGTGAGAAAATAGATTATTAGAATTATATGATTTATTGTAATTTTTCTCTCTTCTCTATTATTCTTGATTCAATAAAATCTCTTAATTCATCTACCATATTTTTGTCTTTATTATTCTTTTGTTTGATCATATACTTCATTATTATTTGTCATATACCTTCAATATCTCAATTCGATGGTTTGTTTCACAACAAGTGGTATCAGAGCGTCAGGTTCACCGGTTTCACAAGAGCTCAAGGTTTGATTTGTTCAAGGTTTTTATTTGTGATGACTTCCATGAAGTATGACATTCCACTTTTGGATCGGAGCACTAAAATTTCACTATGCCATGTTAAGATGTGTGCAGTACTTGCACAGTTGAATTTGGACGATGCGTTGTTGGGAATTGATAAGATGTCGCAACTTTGACCGCGGAGGAAAAATTATGGAAAGATAAGAAGACAGTTTCTCACATTCATCTATCAAATACTACTCCCCATGACGTTTTGAAGGAGAATTCAGCAGCTGCTTTATGGTTGAGGTTGGAGCAATTGTGCATGACTAAAAGTCTGACAAGCAAGTTGAATTTCAAGCAGCGTTTTACTCTCATCGAATGGCAGAATGAGGATCATTGGAAGATCACCTAACTGTATTTTAAGGAGATCGTCGTTGATTTGAAAATTTGGAAGTAGAGTATGATGAAGAAGATTTGGCATTGATCCTATTGTGTTCGTTGCCCGCTTTCTTTTCTTCATTTAGAGACACAATCTTGTATAGTCATGATATTCTCACCATAGATGAGGTGTATAATGCTTTGTATTCAAAATAGAAGATGAAGCATCTGGTTTCTGAGGCCAGAAATGGAGAAGGTCCGGTTGCTCATAATGGTTCTAGAAGGGGCAGATTGAAATCTAAGTTCAGTAATCAAATTTGTAACTATTGCAAGAAGAAGGGACACCTTAAAGAAGGATTGCTACAAATTGCAGAATAAAGAAATGATGGCAAGAAGTAGATATTCAGATATTTCAGGCGAATCAAACCTAGCGAAGAACGCTGTAAATGATTGATATCTCTTAGCTATTTCTGACATTGAGTCTAAACATAAAGATGATTAGATTCTTGATTCAGCACGTGTGTTTCATGTGTTCTAATAAGGACTTGTTTCCTACATATGAAACTGTCTTCAAATGTGTCGTAGTTATAGGAAATAACGCATCTTGTCGGGTTACTAGAATTGGTACAATCAGATTGAAACTTTAGATGGGACATTAGAACACTTGGCCGATTCAACATGTTCCAGATTTGAAGAAGAATCTCATCTCGTTGTCTATCCTTGATTCAAAAGGTTATGAGTTCTTTGGTGGTGGTGGAGTTTTGAAAGTTTGTAAGGGTGCCCAGGTCATATTGGAGTGATAAAAAAGGTCTCAATTATACATCTTGCAGGGACGTGCAGAATTTAGAAAAGTTAATCAACATAAGTTCAATACTGTGGTGGACATTCAGTTTGATACAATACTTTTAGGAGCTCATAAATGACCAGATTTAAAGAATACAATTTAGTGGAGTTCAGGAGATATGAAAAATGTCACTTTGCCACCATCACCTGCGGTGTTATTGTATTCAGTTGCTAGAAACGGACTCAGTGGAACAAGGTATGTGGATGCTGATTTTGTTAAGCATGCTTTAAGTGGAGTAGAAGGTGTACAATTTAACAAGGGGTCTTCTTTAAAAGTATTTGAATTTGATTATGCTTTGAGGTGTGTTACAACCCAATTTGGTAAATTATAAGATTATTATGATTTTTTAGGAATCTGAAATAATCCTACAAGATTAGTGCTTGGATTCATTGGAAGATGTAGAGTATTGTGTTTTGTTTTGTTGGAGAAATTAATTTTTGGTTATTGTTGAAGAAGTTAGTTCATTCCTCGGTGGAATTCGTGTCAGGGTGCAGATTGTTAGAATTCGGGCGTAACCCGAATTCCATGTTGAAGTAATTAAAAAATTCTAATTGAAGTGCACGTTAATGAGAATTCAGTTTATAATGCTATTGGAATCATATGTCAATTTGAAGTTCTATATTGGATGCTCATTGGGAGTTGAAAATTAGTATTGGATTTGAAGAAGAATTTGGATGAAAAAACAGTGTGAAAAAAAAAAAATTCGACAGACTGCCCAGCGCCACCTGTTCTGTTTTATTCCGATTTCCGCATTTTCTTCTCTTACTTCATTTTGGACTTGATTTTTTGGCATTCTACTTCATCAACAACTCTATCAAGAGGGTTTGGACGTCTCCTATATGTTTCCTATAAATATTAGGCTCTTTTATACAATTTTATAGTGTGAGAAAATAGATTACTAGAATTATTAGATTTATTGTAATTTTTCTCTTTTTCATTATTATTGAGTCAATAAAATCTCTTAATTCTTTTGTTATATTCTTGTCTTTATTATTCTTTTGTTTGATCTTATACTTCGGGTGCGTTTGATGAATATTATTGGGGAAATAATGTATTTTAAATAGTGATATGATGGGAAATATGTGGTTAAAAAGTAAAGAAAAATTATTGATGTGATGAAAAATATTATTTTATTGAAAAATATATGGTTGAAATGAGTTATGAAATAATGTGTGTCTAACAAGACTTTCATTATTATTTGTCACATAATTTCAACATCTCAATTCGGTGATTTGTCTCATAACACTACTCATATAAAATTACTCTATATAAAGAATGTAGATAAAACATACTTTCTTGAGTTAATATTTGGGTGAATTCATGCCTCTGTAAGTCTTATATGTTAAGGGATAAAATTTCATATCGAATAAAGATAAAAATATAAACCAATTTTTAAAGGTTTGGACTACTCCTCTTAATAAGGTTAATCTTTTAAGACCAAATTTTAACATGGTATCAGAGCATATTTAATTTTCACGAAAAACTCGTTTCGATTAAGATTTAAAAAATGGGCACATGGATTTCAAAATTGATTTGTTTAGACGAGACACCATTTTGCTGGCATGTTAAGAGATAAAATTTTATATCGAATAAAAATAAAAATATAGACCAATTCGTAAG